GCTCCAGAGCTGGGCTCTGGCACAAGTCTGCGTCTGGCATGAATTCTCATGGGAGCCACGTCGTGAGGTACGTGGTTGCACACCTATCACAAGAAGTCTTGCAACACTGACTTTCCTGAGCTCGGTGGGAAAGTCCGGATAGTGCCTCCCCTCTCCTGCCACAAGAGCAGCCCGCACATTCACAACTTTCCCAAGCAGGTCTATGGAGTTTCTTCTCAGAGCGAGCCTTGGTCAAACGCACCCGGCGGGGGGAAACTCGCCCTTCCCCAGCAACTCAGATCAGCGCCTTCTTGTTAATGCTCCAAACACCAATCCTGAGATGCTGCTGCCCACCCCTCTCCCCCCCGCCCCAGCATTCACAATGGAAACTGGAATTCAAGGGCCAAATTCAAGCCCAGAGTGAGCAGTAGGACTCGGACCTCAAAACAGAGTTGCACCTGCTGACCCCCAGCCTGAATTTGGTTCATCCAGAGTCTACAAGTCAGAAAGGCATGTTTAGAAAGAGGCATGCTAAGGACTGATGGTGGAACAACCAATCTGTCCCCACCAGCGCCGTGGGGAAGGCCGGACCGAGAAGGAAGAGAAGGATCCATAGAGATGTGAACCAGAATCGGTTGTGTCGAGCCCTGGGGATATCACTACATGTTGAGCTCTTGCAAGACCATTTGCCCAGGGCTTTGGTACCACAGGGTTAGAGTTACATTAACCACAACCACCAGAGAGGAACTGAGGTTTATGACCCCCCCTCAGGTTAGATTTCTGCCAAGTATAAAGGGGAGGGGAAGGAGGGGGGGGTCCTTGGTTCTTTTCCCTTCACTGTGTGACCGAAGGTTTTTGCTTTTATTTGTAAACATCTTGAATTACCCGTCGTTTTCCAGTCTTCATCGTGCTGTCGTCAGGCCACTGGAGAGCACAGCATTTTCTGAGCTGGGCTGGGACTGCTCCTTCACCACTGGGTCTGCAGGAGACACCGACCAGGCAGGAAGGGGAAACGGCATTTAATAAAGGGGAAGCTCCACCCTGGCAAACCCTTTCAGAAAAACTGCCCTCAGAACCCACAGAGCTGCCAAGGCTTTTGTGAAGCAGGGAGCCGAAACTTGTCCCCATAACCCAAGACCCCTCTCCATCCCAGCCGGCCCCGGCCTCCCCACAGACTCACAGAAATAGGGGTGCTCCATCGCCTCCTTGGCGGTCAGCCTCTGTTGATGGTCGTATCGCAGGAGCTTGTCCAGCAGGTCTAGGACTTCAGGACTGACCAGGTGTCTGTTCTCGCTGTGGATGAAGTTCTCCCAGCGCTTCCGGGAATGCCTGCACAGGGACCAGCTGTCACTGCCCAGCTCTGAGCAGCAGAGCAGGACCTAGAGGTCCAGGGGAATCACCTGCCACTATCCACTTCCAAGAAGAGATGGCTGTCATGGACACTGCCTGCAGCTCTTCCCTGCACAGGCTACTGCTGAGCAAGCCCTTGCCAAAGGGGAAAAACCCTGTCGTTCAGGTACACCAATTGTGTAGATGTCCTATGCCTGGGAAAGGCACAATATTGCACATTCCCTCCTGTTTACAGGGACAAAGCATGCAGCAGGCAGGGTGACACCCTGGGGACCAGAAGTGATCTGGCTTGCCAGCCAGCCTCTCAAAAGCTGTCCTTGCTATCCCATCCACCTCTCATCCTTTTCAGAAATCCCAACTGGGAGATTTTGAGCCCCTCAGCCCACACCCAATTCTAGTGTCTGCATCTCCACTTCTAGGATGTCAACAAGCAGAAGAAACAGGGTGTGGATCATGGGAAAGACAAAAGGAAAGAGCCTGCATTTCAGTGACCTCCCGAGATGGCCTGAGCAGCCAGATGGGAGGCCTGCAAGCAGCATTGTGACCCAGAAGATCAAAGCAGGCGTTTGCTGAGGGACAAGGGGATGGACATCAGTTTATCTCCCTCTCTGTGTTACAAGGAAAAAAGACAGCATTTCACTTCTGCACTTACTGGCCCAGGATATCATTGAAGTGCGGGTCCAGTTCTATGTGGTACTTCTTGAGATACCCATACAGCTCATCTGTGCCCAGGACCTTTGCGATGCGAACCAGCTGGAACAAAAGGCATGTTGAGAGAGAGCAGAAGGGCAGGCCACCACTCTTTTGCAGGGGCAGAATTGCCCAAATTTAAGAGTTCTCCTTCTGGAAACATCCCAGACGGAAGGAACATCTCCCTCAAAACTTGTTTTTGCAACGCGCACGGAAAACAAGTCTCCTACACCAGGCAGCGAAGCATAATCCCAGATGGCTTAACTAAGCATGTAGCAACATCATCCCAGCACGGTGGTCCGATCCCTAGAACCTCCCCACTATACACACAGAGACGAGGCACTGACAAGCATCTCATGAAATAAGACAGGGAGCAGTCTTTACTTGGTCATAATTGTCCTGGCCGTGGAAGAAGGGCTCCTTTCGGAAGATCATGCTTGCCAGCATACAGCCTAAACTCCACATGTCTAAGCTGTAGTCATACATCTGCAGGGAAAAGGGAGAAGCTGTCAGAAAAAGCATGCTCACCAGGGCCTGGTTCCCCAGCTGCACAGGCAACCACAGCCTTCTCACATCACAGCCAGCCTTCCCAAGCCAGGCAACGCCCTGGGCAAAACCAGACAACCCAAAGGTGGCCAAAGCACAACCACAAGTGGTATTGCTGGTGAGCAAGGAGGAGGCAGACTCTTACTTGGTAGTCCACAAGGAGCTCCGGTCCTTTGAAGTACCTAGAGGCCACACGGACATTGTATTCCTGAGCTGGATGGTAGAATTCGGCCAAACCCCAGTCTATGAGCCGCAGCTGAACAGGCGATAAAGAGACACAGAGTCAGGAGCCTCAGGACAAGCTGGTTGAGTGAAGCCACCTTGGCCAAACCTCTCAATCCTGCGACGCAAGCGTGGATGCAGGGGGGTGCTCTGAGGACAGGAGGTGCTCTCAGTAGTCAGGCTTTTCCCTTTCCCCTGTCTGGTGGGCAAAACCCAGCTCAGAGAGCTCCCTTGCCCCGAGTACCAGCACTCGCACTGCTGGGCAGCTGCCTCCTTACCAGCACCACCAGCCACAGTGCTGGGCACTGCACACTAGGAACAGGAAAAAGCCAGCTCTCCTATCCCACTGTTTCCAGGGGCTGGGCCGAAAGCAGCAGTGATTTTAACCGGAAGCCGAGAGCAGGAAACGAGGTAGGAGAGGGGGCCACCACATCCTGTAAAGCAGACCATCTCCTTCGCAGCCGCAGGGATGAACGACCTGCCGTGTTGCTGAAGGACAGTGGGTCCGGCAAGAGATTTCCCCCCTTCTTATAAAATTTGCCTTGTCTGTGTAGCCACCACTGATTGACAGGGAGGGACCTGTGGACCAGCAACTCGTTGACTGCTGCAAATCCCAAGTCCCTGGAGAGACACGGACACACAGCACCCGACGAGGTACCAGTAGTGTGACAGGGTGGGGATGGTCCCAATGCTGTTCATTTCCAGGGCAGCAAGCCGGGTACAAACGTTTCCTATGACCTAACTAGCATGGCCAGAAGTGAGGAAGGCACTGCAGGACGAGCAGCCTGTTATTACAGGAGGAGCTTAAGCTCCCCAGGTAAAAATATCCACGTGTGGTTCAGCAAGGCCACTCTTCTGGCCAGGGCCTCTGCCCCCTGGTGCCACACCTCCCCGGGTGGAGATCGGTGGTCCCGACCTGCTCCCCACAGCAAACAAACCCAGCGCGACGGGCTGGGGGGGCGTAGAGCCACCTTCAAGTCCTGGACTCCCACTGCGGGGCCCCGGTTGTCTCCTGACGCAGGCACAATCAGAGGGGAGCCGGTAAAGAAGGGTTAAAGAGGTAAGTACAACTGCCCAGGTGCAGAGGTGGCAGTTTCAAGTTTCCCTGGAAAGGCCCTGGTGCCACGGTACCTTTTTCTGTTGGTGGTCTATCATGACGTTGTGGGGCTTGACGTCCCTGTGCATGATCCCCATGCTGTGACAGTAATCCAGGGCCTGGCAGACACACGCACGTACATTAGACATGTCCGTAACCACGGGCACAGCATTACAACACGACAGACAGTTCTTAGCCGGGAGCAAGAGTGCTCTGATCATGAGGAAGTGCAAGCCCAGCACAAGGAACTGGCATTTTCAGTTCTTATGCTACATGTGATGAAGTGACAAGCTGGAAAAAAGACTATTGCTCTCATGTCCTGCTGCAGTCACAGGTCCTGGAATGTTGTTCCCTGCACAGTCTTTGGAGAACATGACACAGAGGTGCGTCCCACCTGGTGACAGGCCCAATGCTCCAATCTGGGCAACCCTGAGCTTCCCAGGTCACGCTCTCTTCCCCAGAGAGGGGCGTCTCTGACACACGTACAGTTTTACAGCCCCCAGTGCAGCTTCTCACCTGCGTCCCAAAACACACCTAAGCTAAAAGGTCACCTCTGCCCTGCCAAACCTGCACTTAAAAAAGGCAAGTGATAGCACGCGAGGGAGAGCAATGCCGCTTAAAGCTTGAAGGCAGGAGCACACAAGCTCATCAGCTCTGTGACCTTGCATCCTTCCTCCCCGGCAGCTGTTCCCTTAAGCAAGTGGAAGAGAATGTTGTTTTCTCATATCCAAGGGGAGGGACACCCATCCATCAACATCTATCAGATGCTCTGAGATCTCCAGCAGCACAGGAGCGTACAGCCTGCAGTCATTCAATATCCAAGACATCAGTGCCAGGAAAGTAACACTGTTCCTGGGCCCCTGTCGCAGCGGGAAGCATAGGAGGCAACAGCTTCCATCACAGCAAGGCTTCAGGGAATATCCCTGCATGACACGTGGCCTCACAGCAAATGGTGGTCCTGGGATCTCCAGCACACAGGATCTGTAACAGGCTGGACAAACTGCTTCTGGGGATGAAGCTGTTTTAGTGTCTTGCTTGTTCCAAGGCTGGATCATCTAAAACCTCATCATGCCTCCCATCCTAATCCTGGACTGCCTTAGGCTCCCTCCAACCTTTAGTAGGAAGGTCCTTCCCTTGCACAGAGGTGCAGCAAGCTCGGGGTGCAGAGAAGAAAGCCTCCCTCCAGCTCACTAGTTATATTTCACAAAGTATCCTGCAGTCACCAAGTGCTGTAGCACAGAGGGGTTTCCCTAGCCTGTCTCACTCATTTCCAGAGGCAAGGGACCTGCCAAGTGCCAGCCCAGAAGTCCCAAAGCCCTGCTGGGACCTGACACAGCCAAGCTGCTGATCCAAGCAGGTCGGCACAGAACAGCCCTGGGGTCAGCCCAAACCTGTAAGCTCTCCCCAATGCCCTGTAGTCAGAGACTCCAGAGAGGCAGCACAGCAGATCTCACAGATCTGCCATATGGCTCTGTGACCATTCCTGCGGGGATGTGCAAGCTAGGTTAGTTAGCTGGAGACCAAGGACAACCCTTTCTGGCAATTAACAATCATAGAATCACAGACTGGTTTGGGTTGGAAGGGACCTTAAAGATCATCCAGTTCCAACCCCCTGCCATGGGCAGGGACACCTTCCACTAGACCAGGTTGCTCCAAGCCTCATCCAGCCTGGCCTTGGACACTTCCAGGGATGGGGCATCCACAGCTTCTCTGGGCAACCTGTGCCAGTGCCTCACCACCCTCTCTGGGAAGAGCTTTTTCCTGATATCCAATCTAAATCTACCCACTAGAAGGATCACAAATGCTTCACAGGATTAAAACAGACCCCAGAGAATCAGAGACTCTTAAGGTCTCTAAGGTCCCCAGTTTGGCTGTACTACCTCACAGCAACAAGCCATGTAAACAGATCGTTCCTCAAACCTTCCTGCGTTACGAGACATGGATTCTGCATTGAACATGAGAGAAGCAGCCCCTCAGTAACACTGCCCTGTGAGCTCCCTTACTGCCTCTCCCATTTCTGGTCTCCCCATCCAGACTGCCATATGCAATGCCACTCACCTTCAGCAGCTCATACATATAAAACCGAATATCAAAGTCTGTCAGGATCTGGTACAGTTGCTGAAACAGATTTGGGGAGGGAGAGAAAGGGAAAAAAAATAAATACTCCAGATTTAGATAAGATTTGTTTCCTGCACCCCCCCTGCCTCCAATCACTGACACCATTCCAAATCCCCTGCGAATGCTACCGCTCCCAAGGGCTGTCCTGGTCTCAGACCTGCCAGGGCTACACACTAGGAAATCCGGAAAGGACACGAGAGCTCCTGTGAAATGTTACTGGGATCATTCAGACCTGTCAGGACTTCTTTCTAGCAGGAAACAGTCTGTCTGTCCAAGGAGAAGACAGCAAGGCCTTCAGAGCATGCTGGAGTTGGTACGGATGATCTTGAGATTCTGTTCACATGCAAAATCATCAAGGTGACTTGACAACGGGGATAACAGCACTCAGAGCAGGCAGGCTGGGAACACATGGTCAAGCCTTTCAAGCGCTCAAGGTGGGGCAGGGAGAGGAAAACATTAACCTAAAGGAGCATGGGGTGGGGAAGCACAGAGGGCAAAGACAGCCCCAGAGCTGCGGAGGCTCCCCTCTAGCCCAGGATAAAGGCTAAATGCAACACAACCGCACAGAAATGCTCGTGGGGCCAAGGGAAGCACAGCTCAGAGTCTCAGGGAAGTGCTTGTTGCCAGCACACGTTCACCACCCTCCTCTCCTCTGTGTCCTTCTGCAGCTACTCATGTGGAAGTGACACTTTAACCTGCACTGTGCCACCTGCGACGGAGAACTCATCATCCTGCTGCTCCCACGCCAGGTCACAACTGGCCCAAAATTTGCCTTCTGCTCTGTAGGTGCCAGCCCGACACTGTCAGGCTGTGCTCGCACCCAGGGAAGGCAAGGTGCGATGCCAGGGCAGGGCAAAGAAGGACATTCCCAGGGCAGCAGAAGGACCAGACCCCTCTGCCCTTTCTAACAAACAAGGATCGTCTCACAGCTCGGTCAAATCACCGATTGCATCAGCACTGGAGCCAGCTGCTCATCACAGGCACCACTTGGCAGCTTCAGGAAAATTCCCAGAGCAAGGGATTGAAATTCACATTCCAAGAAAGCAGCTCTGTCCCCAGATCCCCTCCGGCCCATGCCAGATCCTGCCTTAGGGCCAGCTCCAAACAGCCCCACCACCCCCAGTAGCGCTCTGGGAAATCATTTGACAACATACAAGTGTCACTTACACATACAGAGCTTTTAACAGCCTCCGGGACCCAAGCTGCATTGTATTCTCCTGAGCTGGGATGATCCTAACGCTTCGGAGCAACTCACTGAAGCAGACAAGTGAGCAGGGTGCAAAGAAGACCTAGCCATGAGCTACAGCAGGGGTAGCTTTCCTGGCTCTGCTGCACGACCAAGGGCCAGCAGAGACCAGCTGAGCCCTTCCAGGAGCTGGGTCAAGTGGTTCCTTAGGTAACAAACACTTGGGGGGGAAAAGAGATGCTTAAGACATATCTTTCTGGGAATCACCACCCTGTTCAACCTTCACATGGCAACATCAATGCACCCAGGAAAGGAGGAGGGCAGGAGAGGCAGGGGCAGAACAAGGCTGGATCCCATTCTCCCCATTCCCTGGGTGCTCTGCCTCTCACTGTCTGTAAGCAGAGAGGGGATGGAAGGGAGGTCACCGCTGCCTTTCTTCTCAGGCCCATGATGCTGTTGCTTCCCTGACCCACAGCCTTCAGCAGAGGCAGCCATTGGGCAACCAGTTTTCAACAGACTTCCCTAGAAGAGCTGCCTGTGAAACCCAGCACCTCTGACCCTCTCGCTGTGCCAGGGCCAACAGCGTGGCTACCAGCACTCGGGCTCCGCTTGCTGCGGGGAACAGTCCCTGCAGGAGCACACTCAGTCCCACTGCGGGCAGCTGTGAAGGACAAAGCCAAGGTGTCCAGGGCAGCACTGCCCCAAGAAGGCTCCAAATCCCCTTTTTCCAGCCTAGCAGGGGAGAGAGACTCCTCCTTTACAGACACATCCCCTGCTCTACTCTTGCAGCTGGCTCTCTGGAGTAAAACTATCAGAAACATCACTGCAGGGGTCACTCAGACCCAGCTCAAACATCTGCCCAGCTAGTTGCCAGCACTCAGGATCACAGAAGGCCTCAGAGACCCAGGCTGGTCTCCCTGCTCCACCCAGGGCAGGAGGAAAGGCCGAACTCACCCACAGGCAGCCTCCATCCCTCCAGCTTTTGGTGGTATTTTGGCATACAGCACATAACCCATCATAAACTAATCCTGTTGTGCCTGAGAAGGCACAGACATGCTTCCCCTCTCCATGGGGCTGACAGGAGTTAAATGCTCATTCTTCTCCCCTGAGTGAGCAACACGGCTGGCTACGTGCAGGAAGCGGCACTCGCAAGGCAACAGGGTGGCTGCGAGGGGCTGTCGGAGGAGAGAGACAATGCTGTTGGGCGTAGGGAGGCAACAGCAAAAGAAAACAGCTCCCAAAGGCTCCCAGCCTCAGCAGCCATGCAAAGGAGGAGAATCGGTCATATTTCTGCATCACCTATGCAGGGAAACAACATTTTTTTAAAAACTAACCTTGTATGTACAAGGATAAAACACAGGTACGTGCTTCCCTCACAGCAACTTGGCCTCAAAGTTCACTGAAGTGCACGCGAAGTGGAAGATTTGACCCGAAAGCCCTCTGTCCCCACAACTCCAACAGGCTGAACATCCTGCAGCAACTTTTCAGTGCTCATCTTTCTCGCCCATCTCCTCTTCTTCAGCTGCAAACCTGCTAGGGTGTTTTAAGAACGAAAGAGCAAACCCAACCTAGCACTGCTCCTGCAGACCCGGCTCTGCCCTCTTCTTTCCCGAGGGATTTGCCTCTTTGGGGCAATGAAAAGCACGGTACCAGGTACGCTCACAGACAACATAAAATATCCGACAGCCAGTGGATGAAGGACAGGCACCTCAGTTCTAGTTTGAAACCAACTAGCAAAAGACACTTAATTTCACTGGTGGTTACCCAGCTGGCTGCAGGGCTCTGCAGCACAGCTATCATTCAGGGCAGGTGACTGTGGGTAGAGTGCTGACAGATAATGCAGCAGGTCTGAAGAGAAATACTAGCCCCGTACACGAGCTGCTGTCCTCACACAGCAGAATATGCATTTAGTCCAGTTCCAATTCATCATCCCTGTGAGAACAGAGCCGTTGCTTTCAGGAGGGACCCAGCTGGGTAATTTAAGAAAATGTAATCAGCTCTAGGGAGGTATCACCTAAGTCTCCTGTTTATACCATCTTTAAAAATAGCCAAACCGCGTGGAATATAAACTTGCGCTTCTGATCCGGAATCGTCCACAGCCATGGCTTAGGCCCCACAGGACTGCAGCTCCTGCCCGTGCACAGAGAGCTGAGGAAACCCAGGAGCCATGCACAGACACGAACAGTGTCCTGCCATTTGAATGGACAAAGGGGTGAAAGCGTTAACATTAAGGAAAGAAACTGCCAGGAAGGAGACAACTGAGGAGACATCTAGGCTTGTGAGCAGCTATTGCCAACAAGGCAGAGAAAAAAGCAATCCTGCAGAGCAGTTAGCAGCTGCCTGCTGCCCTGGAAACCCCCCTCAGAAGCTGCCCTGGGAAGACCCCCACACCCTGGAGGAGATTTCCCAGGAGATCACAGACTCACAGAATGGTTTGGGTTGGAAGGGACCTTAAAGATCATCCAGTTCCAACCCCGCTGCCATGGGCAGGGACACCTTCCACTAGACCAGGTTGCTCCAAGCCTAATCCAGCCTGGCCTTGGACACTTCCAGGGATGGGGCATCCACAGCTTCCCTGGGCAACCTGTTCCAGTGCCTCCCCACCCTCTCTGGGAAGAATTCACGGAACAGATTAGATATCAGGAGATGCACGTACTCCTCAGTACTGCTGAATCCAAAGTCAGTGCAGAGATGGGCACAGCAGCAGCTGCCACCTCAAAACAAAGAGAAGAGGTCCCTGTCACCAGGATTAACTCATGTGGCACTTAACTCCAGCAGAACTTGGCTGCCCAGGGAGACCAGTACTGTGGAGCAGAGGGAACAATGACTGGGTGGTCTCCAGCTGCTTTACATACAGAGGTATAGTGCAAGCAAAGACCTCCAGCCACAAGTGGTCTCATCTACTGTGTGCCTTCTGCTTGGCAAGGGCACTTCAGAGCAAGGGAAAGGACAGCTTGGGAGCCCCCGGATACAAGGCAATATCCATAGATACCTGGGAGCAGCAGCAGCTCTGTAACCTGCCAGTTAGCTGCAGCCCCAAGAACCTACCCAAACAGGCAGCAAAGCTCATGGGAGCATGGCTCCAATAACCCACACGCAGCTGGTGAAATTCTGGTTACAAATAAGCTCTGAACAGGATCAGCCATCCTGCGTGCCCTGGGGGGACATGCCTGCATTCCCAAGGAAGTTATTCCTGCCTTGTACCAATCAGCATTGAAAGCATCAATACTCCATCTCTTGGAATTGTACAGCTGTGGATCCGGACTTCCTCAAGGAGCCGAGCTTTCCCCTAGGAGCCAAGAGACGGTCTGCTCCAAACGCAGGTAGTTTCCTAGAGCTCAGCACTGTCGCTTCTGCTGTGCCAGACCGACGCTGCCGTCCCGGCTGCAGCAGCTCTCGGCAGGGCCGGACGGCTGACCTACCACGTGCTGCAGCCCTGCGTTTTTCAGTTGAGCCCCTGTCGACCACCAGCCTCAGGTTACTGCTTAACACCTCACATATTTCTGTTACTGGGCGATATATTTGATAATTTTTTCCTCTAGGACACGACGGAGTTGTGCAATCCTATTTTGACAAGGACACATACAGCGATCCTCAGCAAGGCATGACGCTGCCCTAGCACCTATTTTATCTCACGCCATGTATTAAGAGGAAAAAAAGCAAATAAGGAACAAATCTCTAAATAGAAAGTTAAAAACTTCCAGGATCAGACTTATGAAGAGGCCCTGTGTCACCGGGAGAAGCACGGGGGCACGTTCCCAATAAACACGCGGCACTGGAGCAGCCAGCTGACATCCATGACGCCCAAACCGAGCCTGCTTTAATTAGTTCCTAAAGTTCACCACAGCACTCCTCTTCACTTGGTGGAGGCAACACATCTCCCCACCCAGAGCTGTCAGGGCAGACGCTGCTGCAAGTTACTATTATTCTAGCCCCTGCAGTAAGTCTCTACACGAGATGAAATAGCAATGACTGCCACTGCCAGCACGGCTGCAGCTCTGGCCATGCACAGCGTCCCACCCAGCACGACTCGGCTTGCCAGACCGACCCCGGAGGGACCGAAACAACGCGTGCGTGCAGGGCTGCAGGCGGGACAGCCTGTGGGCCAGATGACAAGCAGTCTCCTTTCCACCAGCACCCACCCAGGGTCCTTCTCTGGGCGTTCGGTGTATCTGCGGAAGCTGCATCCTACACGGGGTGTACCTACGCGATGCTCCAGCACAGACAGGAAGAAAAAAGCACCGTCCCATATCGTGGAACGAAAGAGATCTCTGAACAGAGTAGGAGGGGATGACTGCTGGCTTTCTAATATCAACTGTTCAGTTAATTCTCCACCACTGACTTAATGACTTAGGGTAAATTCACATGAGGGAAGCAAAAGTACCACTAAAATAGGTGTGATTGCTAATTACATATCCCTTTTGTGTATCAGCTCACTGCTGCCAGCCAGCAGCATTCCAGCAGCACAGGAAGTCATAGCCGCACTCAGACAGAAGAACCCCCATTTTGGGAAGGAGGAATAGTTGGAGCTCCGCAGAATTGAGAATAGCCAGGGAATACGCTGCAGCCTCAGGCAAGCAGAAAAGCTCTTAAGATGTAAGTGGGAGACATGCTTTCCAGCCTCTGCCACCCCTCAGTCCCCAGGTCTGAAGGATGCCAGCACAAATCAGCGTCGCCTCCCCTATCAACTGCACTGCTGTAAATAGAGCATCGCAGCACAGGGATTAACTTGGGCTGAATATATAACCCAGCAGTAATTACTAAATTGAGAGTGGAGTAAGAATATCTAACCTGTTGAACTTATTCCTCAATGTTGGGAGGAGATTCAGCACACAAGCTTTTATTCCTTCTCATCTACAGGTTTCTATTTACGGGTTTCTGATTTATATGGGAAAAGGAAGGAGAAGCTGAGAGGTGAAAACTCCAAACTCTCCCCATAGTTCTCAGGGAGTTTCTGACAACCCAAGATCACAGCATACTCCACAGAAATGGGAAGCATACCCTCCATACTCAGGCAGACTCACCTTAAAATCTGTGTTATTGATGTACTCAAACACCAGAGCTGGGGTCTTCGACTGCAAGAGAGAGAGAGTCATGGTTTAAAACCCCCTCTTGACCTTTCGTTGCTCTAAGAGACCCGAGAAAGCTTTTGCTTCCTGGCCAACCCTCACTGCGAAAAGCAGGGCAGGAGCAGCACAGCGAGAGAAACGCAGCCCTGCTCCCACAGCAGGCAGAGGCAAGCTCCACTCACACCCCACGCAGCAAGAGCCAGCACAGCGTTTTGGCTGGCGCTGGCCCTCCTCGTGACATGGAGCAGAGACAACACTGGGCAAGGCAAAAGGTGTCACCAGGGGCTAAGGCCTCACATCCCATCGCAGGAGGAAGGTCAGCCAGGACTGCCAATGCTACAGCAGCGTCATTTCCTCTCGTGACTGCCAGCAGACTGGGAGTCACAGTCCTCAGGCAGCTGCTAGTCAGGGGAAACTTCCTGGGAATGGTGGCTGTGCCGACCAAGGGTATGACCTCTGGTCACTGGGCAGGACAGCAACCAGAGAACAAAAGTGCTTAATATCCAATGGCCCTGGCACATGCCAGACAGAAGCTGGAAGGCTACAGGCTCTGTCTTCTTACGTAAGATTTGTAGGGCTACAGAACTTCTCCCCCCATCAGCCATGGGAAACTCACCGAAGACACAGAATGGGTGTAAAGGAGTCTGGGGAACACGGAGAGGAACTAATCCAAACCAACCCACCTTAGGGGACCCCAATGAGCTGGACACTGCTCACCCCAGGCTAGCACGAAGGCACAGGCAGCACCTAACCCGAGCTGAGAGCAGAAGCCAGGCAGCAGTGCCTGCCCCGTGCCTGCAGCTGGCAGGGGGGCAAGCCCACCACTCACCCCGCGACACACGGGCACCTACCACTGGATCCTTGACAGTGTCAATCAGATTAATGATGTTGGTGCCACCACGTAGATTCTCCAGAATCTTAACCTCACGTTTTATCTTCTTTTTCTTCACTGGCTTAAATAGACAAAAGAAATTAGAAGTGAGAGTCCTTTCAGATATTAACCCCAATTTGTGCCACCCACTTTGACCGGGCCACATCACCTCCTCTCCTCTGCTGCTCCCCCCTTCTCACGAGGGAACAAGTTTTGCTTCAAAGAGGAGACAGACACCTTGCGTGAACTAGGATCTCCCTTCTCATCAGTGAAAGCTTTTTGCTCATCAGGGGAAAAATCAAACCACTCTAAACTAATCAGGACCCCTAATCGGGACTCCAGTAAGTGTGGCCAGAAGTGCCATGGACTACTACATGGAAACCTCAACACACCCATTCTATGTTATGCACTTAGAGCCACAGGACAAGCACAGTGGACCTCATGCCTCATTTTTTTTATACCTTAATCCCAAGTCATTTCCCAAAGAGTACTTTAATCCAATAAAACAATGATCTGAGAGTCTCCAACACCAAGATTTCTAGTAAGCTCAGACACTGCCAGGCCTAACCATGTGCACGGGTCTTTCTCAACCACCCCAAGAGCACAGACCCAAGCGCACAGCACACCACTGCATCCGTATACCGTGATTATTTTTAAAGCTTACAGACGTTTTAAACGGTTTTTGATTCGTCTTCAAATCTGCAGAGTCCCAGGAACCTGGGACTGACTTTGCCTTCGCAAAGTAAGCTTTTCTCCGGACATCACCCTGCAGAGTGACAAAGAACAGCTGCTCCCAAGGCTGTTCTGGGAGCTTGGGTTAGCTTTTGCACTCTGCTGATCCAGCGGTTCCCTTCAACGCAAATGAATGATCATTTCTGTAACTCATCCCCTCCCAGGACAACTCTAGCTCAGGCCTGCTTCAAAGAAAAAGCAGCTTAGAGCAGCTAAGAGATAAGACTTTTTAAATGAGCCTTGGCTAGCAACTGGTGTGGGCATCACCAGTTGCAAGTCACTGAGTGTAGCAGCTGGAACATCCCCTCCTGCCCCAACAGTACCCCCACAGAGACATCTTGCAGGGACCGGTAAGCCCTTGCCCTGTCTGGAGGTTTGCTGATGAAAACACTCCTCTCCAGACACTTGGCTTTCTAGAACATTCAGCATCCGGCATGGAGCCTGGCGTGTGAGGAAGGGAGCGATGGGGAATGGCAAGAGGTACAAGGCACCTTACCGAAGCGACACACCTCAGGTGTCTACGTGAGGGACGAGCTCAACAGCTCACATGTGCTGCCTCACCTCTGCCGCTGCCTCCCACTTCGATGATGGCTGCAAAGTGCTGGTGGGGCGACTCCTGTTACAGGCAAATCCAGGGCAATCCTTGGATTCAGACCGCTCAGAGGAAATGTTTGAGCAGATGGGAAAAGGAACAGAAGCTTTTAGCGGGAAAATATGGCGTTTATACAAGTGAGAAAATATGCTGTCTTTCTAGGCTCTTCAGGTGGCTGAAACCATCAGATGTGAATCCTGTCCTTCTCCTCCTCCAAGTTAAAAGGCAGAAGGCTAGACTTTCAAGCCAAGAGATGAGAATCTCAGCCCGAAGCAAAGTGCCAAAAATAACACCAATGCCGGCACAGGGAGCGTCAGCACCTCATAAAGCCACTGTGGAAAACTGCAGCAAGGCTTCTGCAGCTGTCAGCCCCAGCTGGAGTGACACAGGGCAGGGCTGGCTGGGGAGCAACAGCCCCGGGGCAGCACCCAGACATGGCTGGAGCCAGCAGGAGGCTGGACAGACAGGCAGAAGCAGCGGGACCAGCAGAAGTGAAGGCTGCATATCTGAACCTGAGGGGAAGACGCTTCATTAGTGACTAATTTCATTTCTGTCAGCATTGGGACCGACACCACTCTTACATCACCCACATCCACTGATCTTACCAGAAGGCCACGATGGAAATAGAGGATGTAATTCGGTTATTCTGCTCGTCTGTGATGCACACACAAGCTGTTTTCCAAGGAAGTTCAAAGAGGGAGCTGAGCCACTGCCATCCTGAAGGCGCTCGCTGAGTGGCCTGGCTACCAACTGACATGCATCACAGCTTCTCCGCTGCGACACTCACACCTGATCGGGAGCTCAAACAGGGCCTCAACACAGCCGAAAGGACCTAAACCCCACTTTGAAATACCTTTTCCTTTGTACTGTAGTCATTTCAAGGGCCTTTTGCGTCACCTAGGTAGGGGAGGACATCCCTCCGAGATTTCCATTTCTCCTTCCATAGCAACCACCACTCCCACTGGGGCAGATGATGTTGCATTCCAGTCACTTCCACATTTCTACCCTTTTCAGGGTGGGAAAATCATGTCGTGCGACACCTCCACTAGAAATCTAACCCTACCCACAACATGTTTACTAAAAGACAAGAGCTGACAGAATCAGTGACTATGGGAAAAAAAGGAGAGAAGAAAGTTGGTCTTTCCTTAATGAAATGCCCGCAGACAACCACCACCAGCAGCATCTCCGGCATCACCGAGGGAAGACAGTCCAGCAAACACTGTCTCAGCAAGAGGGAGTGCTAAAAGCTGCTCGCCGTTTCCACATTTTCCTGCTAAGCTGTAGAAGCACAGAGCTCGGGCCAGGCTGTCGCACATGGCCTACGCTACCTCCACGTTGGCTGTGAGCTGGGGCAAGGGCCCCGCGAGCCTCGGGGCAGGGATGGGGTACGGGAAGCCCTGCTCGTTGCAGGGTCGTACGCAGTGCATCGTCAGAGTGCTCAGGACAGGGTTTTCCACCGCTAGGTCAGTGGGGGGGAGGTGGGGATAAATGTCACAGGCGATGTCGTAGCTTCCAAGCCCGGAAGTTTCCTTAGAGAGTAATGCAGGGGAACAGAATTTCCCCATTTCAGACTTGCAGGAGAAAACAGTGGCAACTCCTGGCCACCACCCTGCACAGCTTTCACCTTAGCAGCCTACCCAGTCACACGCCACCTCCAACCCACGTTGCCCCACGCCGCTGCTCCAGCCACAGCTGTACACACCATCTGCTATCCTGGAGCACATCACCGGGGATCAGTTTTTGCCCAGTAACCAATTCCAAACCTAAGCTCTTGCATGTGGCACGTCAAACAGCTCACTGCAAAGCACTCCAGCACGCGGCCAGCACTGCACTGGAGCTAACCATTCACAGCCAGAGAAACACTGCTGACTCCCCTCCTGCCCCCCACTACTGCTGAAACCACAGGCAACCAGCAGCATATCCTCCGAGCACCGGGATTAAGCCTGGGTTGCTACAACTGTCTCTCAGAGTCACCCGATCTGTCTCTCCATGGACACTGACTCCAAACACACGTGGATTAAATGTGAACTAACCGAAGCTATTATGGCCTCCAACCATCTGCCTCTCCCAGCAGGGACAGCTTCTAAAACACCGGCCCTTACAGCCGGAGTATTTTAACAGTACTCACTCAAGGCTAGTTTACTAAACCAGGCTATGAACAGCAGCATTTCAGGCTGTGTTGCCTACACGCTCTGTCCTCCAGCCCTGGGAGGAGGATTTCCAGCAGAAGAATGGGACAGGCGCTACACAAAATGAACCGCTCTCGAGTTTGATCTGGCTGAGTTTGCAAGGCAATGTTTTATACAGGTGCAGACTCCAACCCCATCTGATCCCAGAGCAGAGGCATTTCAAAGGTCTCCTCCATGCTGGGATTCTTCAGTGACCAGTGCGAGTCAAACCCTCAGTGTGGCCTTTCCCCTCGAGACAGGCTCCAACACAGACCCCTCAGCTCCACACAAACACCTATTTCCATGAAATATGTAAAAACTTGACAGCTTGGAGACTTCCGTGGCATTTGGTTGAAATTGGCCAACCAGTGCAAAAACTACTGGGGGGCGAGGAGGGGGAGAGAGGCTGACAGACAGCAGGATTGCATAAGGCTCGTTTCCATAGGAAACCAGGCTAAAAGACATGTCTCAGTTTAACCGTGTCTACACTGGGAGGGATTTAATTACTTCAACTGCAGCAGTACCCTTGGAACAACACGACTGTCTGGCACAAGCCAGTTTCCCAGGAAATTGCTTCCTTCCTCAGGCAAACTGGAAGCGAGGTGGCTCTAGACAGCGGAGAGAAATCCCGCAGCTCACAGCTGTCCGCTACGCTGACCGCCCAGAGCGGTGGGACAAGGTGACCTCCAGTCACAGGAGGATGGTCTCTGCCGGACCCAGCAGCTCTCACTCAACTGTCCCCAGCCAGCCACCCTTTGCTGCAGGTTTCCCACCCGACCAGCCAAAAGGATCCTGTGAGGATGCTTCAACCTGCTTGAAAGTCAGGCAGAAGAGGCAGCGACACTACCCCAACCACCTCTGCCCAAAGATGAGGAGCATTATGCGATGCCATCCCTCTGCAGAGGTGAGAAATGGCACGGGATCAGCAGTTGCTTTGCAGTCAGGTAGATACAGAAGAAAACACTTCTCTGACTGAGAGACCAGATCCTGGGTCATTTTCTGTGAGATCATGTAAACTTGTAAGCAGGGAGAGAGTCCAGCTGCAGCAAACACCAGCTGGGAGAATGAACATTGTTTGCTAAAATAAACCTTTAAATACAAGGCTGCACCATCACTTCCTGTCTTGAAAAAGTAAATGGCTGCCTGGTTAATCATCTTCTTTGCTTTGTTTCTAGCGTAAAAGGAGCACACTCTCTGTCAGATGCTTCAGTTCCAGCCTTCCCCAACAACCTGGGGACCCATCACTTGAATTCAAGCAAAGAGAGAAAATAGATTTGTTATCCAAAGTTCTCTGCATACTTCCACACCGAGAAAGAAAAGTAGTGACCAAGAAGGCACGTGAAATACAGGTTAAATCCAAAGCATCAAAATAATTTTACGTTAGCCAGAAGCAGACAGCGCACACAGTGCCAGCCGAGAAGCACACTCTGAAGGAGTCACAGAAGGTGCTGGGTTTTGCCCTGGGATTACCACAGCAGGGGAGGTGGTTTAGCAGTCAAAAGATAACAAATCCACGAGAAACTGAAGTCATTTATTCCACCGCTCCATAAAGAAAAAGCTCTGTTCTTTGCTCACCAAACCTGAATAGCC